GGATAACTTATCAGACTCGTTTACGGTAGCGTTAGAGGTGATCTCCCTTTGGTGACCTACTAGGAAAACAGAGCAGTAATGTCGGCTTATCAAGAATTGCGCGAGCGGGGGTATAAAGAAATGTTCATCACGGAACATTTCATGTCGTCTTTAACAGGCAGGGCTAGCAGACTATCGAGGCACACCAGTTTCTTGATACACAGAGCGACAATAATATCATTAGTTATAGTGGTTTGAAAATGAGTGTACTTAGGTAAGTTCAAGTAGAACATGAGGCCAGCGAAAACTCGTGACTGCGCCTTACCTGATAAACCCCAAGAAGGGCGAAACCGGTCATGGGCTGTGGAAAAGTTTTCAGCAACCTTATGAGTAGTGCATCACACTATAATATCGCGACGGATATGCCTCACTTGGCCTATTCCATTCTTGATTCCGAATCCTTCTGTTCAACTTATTTATGACTTTTCATTTCCCATCTCATGTTCCCGCGTGACAATTGGGAAAAAGTGGCTATTATCTACCATGTCTATCTCGTATGAATCAAAGTCTTGTCGAATCCATCGGTCCGTGTCACGAACACAGCCGCTCCGTGTTGGGCGACTCCGTGTCGGCAAGAAGTAGGCAACCAAGGCAGCCATCAGTTTCCGCTCAAAACGGCGACCAGGCTGTGTTGCCTATGTTTTGATTGTCTGTCACCGTATGTACACAAACATAAGACAGCCTTTTGATTGCGACACAACTAGATGGTCGACAGGCAATTTTTTTTTCAATTTCTGCCTGCATCATGGGAGTTAACAGATTATTCTGCTTCTTACCAACTCAGTTGAACAGCTATTCTACTTAGGTTTTCATCTTTAGTCTTGTTCGCCAAAAGTTACTATTCAGGAAGCTTTGTACATATTTACTGGTGTCCACATAGCGCCGCACCCACAGACAACACTAGTTTATCTGAATGATGCGGTGAGAGAACGTCACAATGAAAGAATGCGCGACTCTCATAAATCCCACCGAAAACTTGTCGTTTTGGAGATTTCATCTGAGAGCAGAGGATCTAGATTGGTCTTCACTCTGTGTGTCAACTATCCCTTTTACTCGTGGATCCATATGGCTTCGGCTAGCTCATATGTTATTAAAACCTCAAGAAATATGCATTAAAATACTGCCGCAGCTTTACAAGCAATATTGTACACTTTAAACATTTTGCAATGCTTGTTTGGTTGCTCAGATTTCTGGAGAAGAGAGATTTATAATCAGGTTACGGTTCCGCCAAATCGTGTGTCATCTCAATAATATTATATTATATATATTACAGATATTACATAATTATATATTAAATAGACCATGAGTTTAGGTGGAACAAATCAAACCCCAAACCCGAGAGAAACAGCAATCTTTGTCGTGTTCCCTCTGTTGTTCAACATCTCGGAAAAAACGGTGTAACCACTCTAGGCTAAAACGTCAGTGGAACAAAGTAGACGACCAAACCACTATCTTCTGCTGAAAGCCGTATGCTGACCTAACCTTATTGAAGCTCCCTACTTCGTTTCAGAAATAATGGAGGGTATCCCGTCCTTTTTTAACGTTTCTGGCGTGCACACATCAAGATATGTTTGTTCCGCTTACTATCTTATGGTGAGGTCAGAAAATTTAAAGAGACCTTTGCCATAGTTAGTTATGGTGACCGTTTTGGTTTTTTCTCACCGCAGAAACCACCGTCCGTTTTCTGAATAGCATTTTACCCAAGCTTCAACTTTTGAAGACGTTTTCGCCTCCGTGACCCTCGGTTGGAAACAGACGAACTCATTTTGTGTAGATTTTTCCCCACAAACATAAGCGATTGACTTTGCAATGTAAACTGCATAAGTATTGTTCTGGGCTACTCGAAACGCAGGTTTTTGTTTCACACTTCCCGGACATGAGCATATGTTAGTTTGAAGTCAACCAGCCCTCCATATGCAATGAATCCGTACCCCGGATATTGAAGCGCTGGCAAGCGCCGTACCGCCCCTTTGTCCCAGAGAACATGAATGGCTACATTAATCTGGTAGTGTTTCATCTATACGAAAACAGGCAACCAAAAATTCTGATCCAGATAAGCCGGAGGAAAAATCGGTCTGTTTTTAGGCGTATCCCGAAAACTCCCAGCTGATGCATCGCCTGAGTGCTAATTTTCGGGCGATAATCAACACTCCTCTGCGTGTGTGCAACTTACTTGACTCCTGCCAGGAAATCCGAAAAGATGCTTTGTTTCTCGGCTCAGTAACTCGTGGTCATGAATACAAATGGTAGAGTGAACAACTCCATTTTCCATTTGATACCTCTCGCCTTTATAAAATCTTCTGTCCTCGTACTTCTTTGAACATGCTGATCTAATTGTGGCTATCCACCAGGGTACCTGTTTTTAGTTCTCATAGCACTCGTAGAACATCTCAAAAATCTGGGCAGTGTGCTATCGGTGCGTTCTTTTAGGGACCAACCAGATGGTTCAAATCCAGTGATTTTTTCAAGATTTCTTCATATCTTAGCACGTATTTATACTTGTTTTGGGATAAATACTCGATTGCAAACTTACTTCAGTATCTAAAGTGTAGATTTAACGGTTACATGTGCAGCATATTCGATTGAAGAACGTTGTAAACCAGGGTTTCCAGTGAATTCCATCGAAGTCTCCTGTTTGAATTCATGGTAATCATGACGCTTAGCCATTCGACGCCATCCGCCAATGGCAGATAGGCGGACAAACATCATCATGTGCAAACATCGGAAGCAAGTTTAGTTCCTGTTCGGTTCCTAATCAGTCATCAGGTCTATTTGTGGCTTTGGAATTGCATCCACACTATGGTGTTAAATGAAAGAATGGTACCCGCAAAACAGACTCCTTTGCACATTTGTTTGAACAATCTCTCAAACGAAACACCTGCTGCGATTTAGATCAGCGCCCTCCGGTGAGAACATGATTCACGTGTAAACAAGTGTCTTATGTGAATTTCGATATTTTAGTGAAACTAGGGCATCGCGTTGAAGAAAGCTCGGAGACAGCGCCTACCTGTGAGGTCTCGAGAAAAGCGAAACCAGCCGTCAGATTTCGAGAAATTTTAGCAAGACCGTTTAGTTTCCTCCGGGATAGTGCTACGATGTCACGTCTGTTCTAGAGTACGGAAATTTCCGTCATTGTCATCTTGTTCGGAGGTAAAATGTTGATATTCATGATCATACAAAATGCTAAATTTCGCTCCAAGCATTTTTTAACCGATAGCTTCATTCAGATCGAAAATACATTCAATCATATTTAGCGTGAAACCTCGATAAGGTGTCAGAAACACTCCTGAGTGATTTGGACGTTCTTGAGACACAAAATAGGCGGAGTATCGGAAATAATTCCTCTGTTTTTACATCTCCGGTTTTCAGCTTGCATATGTTGCTCTCAGAAGCTGGCCACCTTGAGAAATACACTGACAAGCTTTCGAGAAATACACTCATTTGCAAATCAATTTGGTTACAACGCGAGACTCAATTGAATCTCTCGTTTATGATGTCTTCCAGCTGAATGTGCTGCACACAGGCCGCCTCATGATTCAGTTGGCACGATATTCGAGATATCGCAGTATATTTTCATAAAGGAAACTACTCACAAGGTTGCTGGGAGGTTCCCAGCAACCTTGTGAGTAGTTTCCTTTATGAAAAAACACTGACAAGCTATTTTAGCATAAGAAAAAAAAGTTTTCCGTAGGCCGGCTTTAGTGGGAAACAAGTTCCTGTGGAATAATCTTCTGTAGCGCACGATTTTCAGTAGATAGCAGTGAGTGGTCTGAATGTACATCAGTTATGTAAGTAATGTTAGTAATGTTAACTCATAAACGTTACCCCGATTGAAGTGTTTATCTATGGATAGCACGAATCCTTCGGTTTGGCTGGTGGTCACCGGCGCCTCAGTAAACACCCAAGCAGCGCAAAGCGATTCGACAACAGCGTCGACCAAATGTCATGGCAGCCACCAAACTGATAGATAACTATCAGCAATGTTTGTTTGTTCTTGTAGGCCTTCATGATCGTGTGGCGGACGTGGTCAAAGGTCATGCTGCCCTTTGTGAATCACACGTTCTCGTGTCTGTAACATGCGCGGCGGGATAGGAAATGTGTTTGGTCTATGACGCTGATTGTACTTTTGTTGGGTGGTCGTTAACAAAGGATGTGTCCGAGCGGAAATTCTATAGTCTCCGAATGGGCTAACTGCAAGCCTGGGTGACCGCAGCTGTTGGACGCGTGCTCTATGGATCAAAACATTCATTTGATGTCCCCATCACAAAGTCGTTTTAGAGTTTGATGCAGTCAGCTTGTGTCTTAGAGTTTCCTTATTCATCTTATGTAACCATAGAATTCACTAGATGAATGGAAGAAATGAGAATCAAGGCAGTAGGCTATCCGCTCGAATGCACATAAACTTGAGAACGAGACGAAGCGAGGAATGTAAGTCGGAATGAAGCTCAGGGTGGAGGCGGACTCACCCATGCATAATGCGAGTCTGCTTCGAAAGACGATCGTGTTTATGCCACATAGCCACCGGCACATGGGGTTTTCCCACCGACTTTTCTTGGTTAGGCTAGTGTGGGTAATCTGCATGTGCTGCAAAGTACTTGTTGATCTTGACATCAGTACCGATAATCTTGCTGCAAAGAATCGCGAGATTGTTACTGAATCTCGTTTTGTAGATGCTTCACTAAACAGGAGGTATATTCGGCAGAAATGACTCAGTGGTTAAAGCGCGAATTTACTGATCGGATGTTCCGTGGTTCGGACCCAACCTCTGCCTCTCGACTTCCCCTATCCATGCTTGGGCAACCTGGTAGTATCACAGACCTCATGCTTCCTTCTGGTAGCATGGCAGTTAGGCACCGAAAGGGTGATACAGCTGAACAACTGGATTTTATGATTGGATTGGCCGCTGTTTGTAACATCTGGTCGGTTGCTTTGTAACTAACTATTGGCTTCCTTTCTTTCAGAGATGACCCATCGGATGTGAGTTTACAAGAACGTGCCTGGTGTCCAGATGCAGTGATTCACACGGAACTGCGAGAGTTTATTCAAATTGACTTGGGACGCCAAAGTGTAATCAAACTTATCATAACCAAAGGACGTGTGGCGCAGAGCAAAGTACGTGTCATCTCCCCAAGAGATTATTGGATCACATTTCATATTATTTATGGCCTAGTTACTCACCACCTTATGACTCACCAGTCTGAAGATGCAATTTTAACGTGTAAACTTAGTATGCCTGATTTTTTCTCTGTTTTTGAATGAAACTGACTGAACTCTTGTCGCTCACTTGTTGGATGACATTCATCATAATGTGAACCGAAACGGTCGAGTAAATGCTGTCCGATCATTTGTGCTTGCAACCTACATTAAGCTGAACCAGTGTCGAAATATTTTAGGAAACTGAAGTTACCGGAGATAACAGTGGATTCATTGTAATGAGTCAACTCTCACTCTAGGACCATTCACATCTGTGGATGAGGAATTATACTGCCATCAACTCTAAGGTACTGATCTTACAGTCATTCATTCTGCTCTTCTGACACGCCACAGTGTGCTGGATCTCCACAGTGACGATCATCCAAAGATTTGCGGCAATGATAACATAGTCCACTCGTTGCTGTTTTGATTAATGACTACTTCGCCGCTCATCGGAAGGTCCGGTCCCTGCAGACTTTTGGGCACATTTGTTTTCCTGGAGTTTAAACGATCGTTTGGCGCCAATGACTGTCAAAGAAGGCAGCATGAACTGCCTTGCATATAAAAAAAACTCTGCTTTGGTTTTATCATATCAGGTGAATGACTGATGACTGCTACTAGATGATCCGGGATTTTGAGATTTATCCCGTTGGGCCAAGTGGGACGGGGAAATTTGTGAAAGTTGCCCCCGCTTGTGAGCGTGAACATTCAGTGCGGTAAGATTAGCCGCTGATCCGTAAACCTGTTCACGAGTATTCTTCAAGTTTTTCATACTATCACCTACGGTGAATCCAACCGAGCACGTCTGACCGGAACAAGGCTACATGCAGTTCTGTTCCAATAACGACCTTTTTTGACGAACGGCTTATTTAGCCCAGCTTAGTCTATTATGCCACTTCAGTTAACAAAGTTATGGCTGTTGTGGTGTGTAAACCACGGTTTGCGAGCCGAATCCCTGTGCAAATGGTGTGTGAAAGCGCCGCAGCTTCGTGGTTTGCCTGCACAAAAAGGGATAGAGGATTAGTTACTATTGGATTAAAAGCAGACGAATTTATGAAAACAATTTATACAATTGACTGCCAAACAATGGGAAGTGTAAAAAAACCCCGAGACATCGCTGAACGTTCTGCTGCTCTGTAAATACCTCCACTAGTGATATGTGTCAGCTCAACATGGCTATTGGAAAAGTATGTCCGCAATTGCGATTTCGGAGGCACTGGTGCGCAGATTTTGTTCACTTTTCACTCTAAAGGAAAGGAACGTTGCAGCTTCACGTAGGACTATCTTGAAAGTCGATGCTCGAACAATTATTGTCCATATGTCTATGGATAAACGCATAGTGACAAGTCTTTCCAGAGTAATTTCACCCAAACTGGCGCGGGATACTTCTGACGAAATGGCAACCACTTATACAACCCACCTATCCTTCTCAGCAGGCCCAGGTTGTTGGGCTAAAATGGCTGCGAACGTTGCGTGTTTCATGCAGATTGGATGAAACCAATTCTAAGGCGAATACTCGGTGCGTTTTTCCAACCCAAAGACGATATCATTTGAATAGGCTGGGTCTTTCAGGTGAACTAGTTCGTAAACTCGTTAGCCAAGAAATCGGTGTCTGTACTCCAAACGTCGATATCTTCAGTTTTTCGGGGTTGTACATCATCCTCGTCAAAAACGCCATCATCGGTTGACACTGATGCTTCATCACCGTACAAAGAGGTCACTATCGACTGTCAATATAATCAAACAGACGTGCTTCCAATCGATCCCTCGATTTCCACCTCGGCCTCCGTATCACCAGAGTTGAGCTACCGGAACCTAGACGTGGTGTCAATTACATCGCTTGTGAATTTACTCCTTGATTCTCAGAGACAAGATACGTCCATTCAGAGAGAATTCGCCGTAAGAACAAGGGCCGCTTGTCGCCCTGTTTGTTTCAGTGCGTGAACATTGAAGGCAAGTAAGCAGAACATCTTTCGAGGTTTGAAAACAGATTCCGAAGTGTAGGATTGTCAATGAAATTGATCGCGCAGAATCTGTGGCTTGGCCTAATGCATGGCAAGCAAAGCGGTCAGTCCTAGTGCTGGAACTGGCAAGGATAGTGTTCAAATTTGGGTGGGATAGGGTAGAAGAGAGGATAACCAAAAGTCATCAAGATAGTCGTCACGAGTAGCACCTTTTTGCCTACGTGCCTTGCTGTATGCAGCAAGTCGGGCAACCCTGTAGAGGACACCAAGCGATGACTGATGTGTCACGAGAGGATTTTCGGTTGTAAGCACGATGGTTGCAAATATAGTGCCCGCAGTGTAGTGCAGTTGCACATGGGGTGGAAATAACGGCATTGGTGATACATTGATCTACATATGTATTTATATGTATATACGCGGTTGAATGATTAGTTATCCTTTCAGTCACTGAAAACGAGCATATTTACGTACACGTTTTAGCAAGGCTTGGCTTATACATGAGATGATGCGATTCACAAGTAAACTATCTTGAAATCTCCCGTCCTGAGTTGTAATCAGTATTCTGGTCCTAATGAGTCTATGGTAGTGCTAATGGTAACGTAAAACGCAGAAACGCATTGCTATTGCTGTCAATGATGGCCGCATAAAGCAACCAGTAATCCGAATCAGCAGTGCCGTGCACATACCTACATACACTGTTTCAACATCGTGATTAGGTGCGTTCTGTTAGAGCCTCTTTGAGGCGAGGCATGTGGTAATGAATGAAATTCTGGCCTTTATTTGTGGTAGTGATTAGTGAAACAGTGTGTATGCTTATAGTCTAGTGGATAAGGAAAAGTGTTCAGCTGGAAATATCTTGAAACTCCATATTATTTTTTAAAAAACCTACAGAAAAATGTGTCACATTTTGTTCCACAAAACGGCCAACCCTTTAGTCGAAACTCCAATGACTTCTCCGATAACGAGCCATAAAACGGATGAAATGACTTTGCTGCTAACCGAAATTTGTGAAACGGTCAAATTTTGCTGCCGTTTGTGAACATCCACTAAAGCTTTATCGATTTCATTCAATGCGGATGAGAACGGGAGTCCGTCTAGATTGTTTATTAATTAAGGCAGTTTTGATCATACTGGGCGCGCAATCAGTCATCGGTGAACCAAGTACAAAAAAGTTTTGTACAGTGACGGAACGGCACATCTCTTCATGCGGAATGGATCGATAGCACTTTGTCGTCTGCACTTTGTCCATCGAACCTCCGAAGCTTTTCTTCAGTATTTTATTAAGCATGGTGTACGTCCTCAAAGAGACCAATTTTATTATATTATATTCAAAAGAAATGCCAAGCGTCCTATTTGTCCAGCTTACCGCTAGCGATGTTCACTTTTCCATTGCTTCCCACGCACAATGTCTGCCTACTTTTGTTGTGAAGCAGGCTAAAATTCAGCAACTATCCTTTGACAGCACGATGAGGGCGAAACCATTGTTCATCCTCTGCCTACATGTATGCACATATATGACGTTTCAGAATGCCATCTAATACTGTCCGTGGCTTTCCGCAAATACCTTATACAGCCCATAGTATTGTCCATCAACGAGATGTTTATTTATTAGTCACCAGCCGTTCACAACTGATATCATAACAATAAACTGTGTTGTGAGCGCGAAGCCATTCAGTAAATAGATTCCAAGCGGCTGTCACGTATAGTTTCACTTCGCGGACATTGTATCGGCGACACCAACTAGATAGTTTTAATTCATGTCAACACTGCCGTTCAGTAGTACGTCTTTTCCATCGTCAAGTTGTTGGTCTGCGCTTAGTGCAGGCACACTTGCATTAAGATGAACAACAATTGTCTGCCTGTCACAAATGGCTATTTGCACAAACGCTGGGGATACACAGAGATGTAGAAAGTGTGAAATGCCTGGTGACAGAACTATCTGGTCCGCCATCTCATCAGTGTGAATTTTTTATTCAAATTTTGATCACGCGTTCGTTATACTTTGCCATTTCACTTTTATGAATATCATTGTGTAAATATGAACTTGTGGTGTTGCAAACCCCTTGGGAAAACGTCAGTTTGCGAAACTCTGCTCCGCAGATTGAGGGATGTCAATGGTGATCAATTTTATGTCAGTTGTATCAGTGTTTGTCCAGTACGACACTGAAACTTGGCTCAGCAAAGTTCTACCCACACTGTTGTGATGGAAAATAGACTGACTCGAGCGTCCGGGGTACAATATGGCTTTAAAAATTCACATAAGGACGACGCTGAACACGCACTAATTGGAAGCAGCTGCCTTGTGACTCTTGGTCAGTGTGCAACGCACTTTCACACCACCTTGGGTGATGAAGATCACAGCTCTGGGACAGTCATGTGAGCAGGTGATAAACTCCCGATATCACGTTTTATTGAGCAAACGAAGGAAGGAACTGTGAGAATAAATAGTAGCACCACCACCCGGAAAGTAAACCACTGTGGATCAGCCATGAAAACTACACCAGACTTTAATACGCTGCCTGGTGAGGTGAATTCAAAGGGACAGAACCATCATGTGATCTTGCTGTGATCAACGAAAAAAGACAAAACGAATGGAAGTTAGAATGCGTTTTGTAAACAACGTGATTCATGAATGCCTGATCCGCACGTACTCTGGTCTGAGGATCTGGTTCCTTCTTCACGCAAAGTTGTCCGCGTTGATGATCGGTCACCCTTAAATTGCTAAATGCACCCTGTGATACTTTTTGATATCCTGGGTCGTTATTCAGCTGGGAACTGAAGATCAAAGGGGAAATTTTCGGCACTCATATTCTCAGTCATCTTTGGGAGGGTGGCAGCTGAATTAGCACATTCGGCGAAAACTCCATCTAATGCAGAAAATCGGCCGTACACACAGGGAGCCTGTTGAGATATCTAGCAAGGTTTTGATGTTCTGACTAAGACCTCATCCTGCGTCGAAAACCAGTTTGTTCTGAAAAGTCGTCTTGATTGCTTGCTATTGGAACAGCATAGATTACACATACGTAGAATTCCTCAAACCAACTGTCATGCTATGCAGTGCGTCTGAATCCTTTTTATTTTATGCCAGTATTGTGCTCAAACATTGTTGGCGCCTACTAGATCATCGCAAGATTTCCATGTGGATTCCCTTGGCGTGGGACACTCTCAACCCACAGCGGCTTGCAAAAATGCCCACAGACTTCTTTGCAGGGCAAAGGCGAGAGAGACATTGTCATATACTGAAGCCTTCTGTGTGTCTCAAATTCTGCCAACTTTCAGCAACTTCACATCTCATTAGCTTTTTGCGCTTTCAATCTAGGACAATATTTCAATTCTTGGATTTGAGATATCCCTTCTACCTCTCGCCTGTTATGTTACCGCTGCTCGTTTTCTACCGAATCAACACCCGACTCAACTGGCTACTACAGTCTAATGAATCATGCCAGGTGTTCAAATGTGCAGTGGAAAGACAACGCTTGCCGCTGGTGGCCATTCCTTGGAGATCCAGCTTTCTCAGAGATGCTGAGTTTATTCTGTATTCTAATAGCTTTCTTTGTCTAGTTCTCCCACGGATGTTTTCGACCCGAGTGCACACCACTTCTCCTCCTCACGTTTTAACGTTTGCCCAAACTGCTTCCCAAAACAATCCCGAATGTTTTTGTTGTTTGTTGTTTATTGTTTACTGATCTTCCGTGCCATGCGCCTGTGCGACGTCATTTTGTCAAGATCATATTAGTATTTATACTCAAGGGTCACTCCAACTGTCAACAGAAGAATAGCGACGGTGCTAAAAGTGTTTCTGGCTCAGTACACCCCTGATTCCCCCATACTGATATGACCGCCATTCATTTAGTCTAGGCATCTGCAGCTGCCGACAGTACCACCGCTGCGGCCGTTGTGTATTTTCGATCACGGGATGTTTCTGTCTAATGTTACTGTCACTGATCCGGTACTTTCATACAAGCAGTTTGTTCGCGGAGAAATGAGGCTGTGTGGCGGAAGGAGGAGGTGAGGCAGCCAGTCCTCTGGCTACCCCCTGCCTGAGGACAAAACATGACATTAACTGAGTCACACGCGTTGGGGCGCGTGGATGAATGATGGTTGGCAAGTGTTTGAAGCGATGGGGTCGTTAGTGTTCCTGAGCTATGTGAAACTGAACACTAATGTATGGCCTTTTCTTGTCCTTCTAATGGAACAAATCTGTCACGAGAATAGGCTAGTTGTTCCATTAACAGCATTGTTCATATTCGGTCGAAAACGACAAGAATCATTTCTCTTTTGTTTCTGTTGTAAAGGAAAAATCCATTAACTTCCATTCCGTTCCTTCATCCCATTATGATAGATTTTTACAAGTTGACCATGGCATATGGCCTTAGTCCTACCCACTACACTGTGTTAAACGAATCCAGCATCGTATTTCATCTATTTTACCGTATTTTTTCTATACAGGGACGCCAAACGACACCGTACTTTTATCTTAAATATCAAAGGGAACGAACTGGATTGTGGTTTGAATATCGTAAGGAGAACGGCACGCAGGTAAGAACCCAATAATTTTCGATCATCATGGCTCGTAATACAGGGCTAGGTTTTACAGGAAATGCTACATTCGCTCCCATCAAAGCCATGTGCATACTGCAATTTGATTAGACAGGTATCATTAGTCCAATCTGTGCCTCCTAACTTTCACGTTTACACATTTCCGTACACCTCTCAGGATAATACCGTATACTACTCCTATGGTGAGAGCCTTTTCGCCCACATAGTTGTCCTGCCCAAGTCAAGTGAAATTATTCTTAGTGTGAGGTGTCTAACAGTGCCAAATCAGGATTTCATTCTGAAAATGGATTCAATATACTCTGGGAAATGGGTGAGAACTCTACTACTTGGCCACTGCTTGATGCCCAGCGGTGCGATTCACTCGAATTTGAGCAACATGTGGCGCTATATGTTTCCAACCGGATACATGTCTGGTGACTTTTTGACCGAAACGTCGAGCGTCGATTTTTTCAGAGAAGGCCTACCTGGCTGGTGGGGCCTTTTTTCATTCTGAGCTGGTTACTTGGCAATTTTGGTTGAGATTCCTTCCTGAATGTGTAGCCAATGTAAGCTGAAAAGCCGAAAAGCACTACACAGTTGTATATAGTTGTAATGTACTACTCATAAGGTTGCTGAAAATCCGTCGACAGCCCAAGACAGGCTTCGCCCGTTCTCGGGCTTATCAGCTAGGCGCACTCCCAGGGTTTTCGTCAACCTTATGTTCTAATTGAAACCAAATTGCACGAAATTAACGAATATACACTCATTTGAAAACTGACTTGGTTTTTTCGAGAGACGCACCTGGAAACCAGCTGAATCTCTCGTTTGTGATGCTCTCAGGCAACTGAATGTGCTGCAAATGAGTGTATATTCGCTAATTTCGTGCAATTTGGTTTCAAGTAGAACATAAGTTTGACGAAAACTCGGGGACTGCGCCCACCTGATGAACCCCAAAAGGGGCGAAACCGGTCTTGAGCTGTCGACGGATTATCAGCAACCTTATGAGTAGTACATTACAAAGATATACATGTATCGTGATATCTCGGATATCACTGAAACATGAGGCGGCCTGGTGCAGCACATTCAGTTACTTGAGAACGTCACAAACGAGAGATTCAGCTGGGTTCCAGGTGCGTCGCTCGAAAAAACCAAATGACTGTATATTCGCTACATAGTTGATTTATCCTCATTGGAATCGTCGGTGTGCGCACCTGATGAGTCTCCTGTCTGGTGGGTAAACATCAGTGACAGGGTAGCCGTTTGTTTAACTTCTACAGAACATAGTGCGCCACTCGTTTCTCATTGGTGTAATCCATACCACGTGGTCACGTGTTGACTGTCTATTCGAGTGATGACTTCTGGGATGGCGGGTTCAATCTCTGTACGAATTGCTTATTTTTGTTGATCGTGTGGGGAGATTTGGTCGGGTTCATCGCCTTTGTTTTTCATTTAACAATGAGTCACATTGTTAGTGGCTTAACCATCAGCAAGTCAGCACGCAATATACTCGGACTGGAATGAGCAGAGTAGCAACGAAAGCATATCCAGTGGACGAATTACAGGAGTTTTGTGCCAATGCAGCGTATGATTTTGGTGAATCTTATCGTGTCGCACCCTTTCCACTGCACTAGGCTTCCCATAGAGCAGTATATTTAATAAAACAGACAACCAACAACCACCTGACGCCATAATTATCCAGCCAGTATTTTCGTATAATTCGTTCGTCCCACATTTAAGTTGTTCAAATGCCTCACTTCTTAGAAAATGAGTGGAGAGTATATCATCATCATTATCATTGTCAGCTGTAATAACCGCGTTCTCGTCGTACAGTGGTTGTAGCTGCCGCAGTTTCGTTCACCGATGATTTGGGGGGGGGG